GCAGGGCAGGGTGTGGTTAGTGCTGTGATGGGAGACCTCTCGGAAACACCAGGTGCCACAGTGGGGCGGCTGCGGCTGTAAAGTGCTAAAAACTGTGGTTGTGTCCTTAGGCAAGACACAGAGAGAGAGACTGGTCAGAGAGAGAGATAGAGACAAGGACAGAGAGAGAGACAAGGAGAGAGGGAGAGAGAAAGAAAGAGATTGGACAGAGGGAGAGATAGAGAGGAAAGAGACTGGAGAGAGAGGGATGCAAGAAAGACCAGAGAGAGGCTAAACTAGAGAGAGAGACCAGAGAAAGACCAGAGAGACCAGAGAGAAAGAGAGACCAGAGAGAGAGAAAGAGAATTAGAGAGACCAGAGAGAAAGAGACCAGAGAGAGAGAAAGAGAATTAGAGACCAGAGAGAAAGAGACCAGAGAGAGAGAAAGAGAATTAGAAAGACCAGAGAGAAAGAGAGAGAGAGAAAGAGAGAGACCAGAGATAGAGTGCAAACTATGCATTATTATTATTTATTATTAAAGCTGTGGAAGTTTGTCTCAACAGAAAATGTGGGTAACTGTTTAGATTATCCCTCACTAATTAGTGAACTCTATTGACTCTAGTCTCCTCTCTGGTCCTAGTGTCACAGCGTCTCCATGGAAACAGGCCTCAGCAGGTCTCCAGGTCTGCAGAGGAGGAGGTTCAGTAACAATACATCAGTCCCAAGAGCTTGTGGATATAACATCCTATTTTGTTCGTTAGATGCAAGACCAGGATATTCATAATGTTATATTTCAATAGCCAACAAACAATGCTACAAAACATGACGAGATGAAAGAGAAACACCTTTTCTCTGATAAAGACCGGAGTGTAACGAAGACCGGGCACAGCTGCTGCTCGTGATGAAGACGTAACACTTTCTGAAACTGAATCCAAATGTTGTGGAAGTTCATTTTGGGAATGAGAGAAATGAGGCGGGTCATCTGAGGACGGCTGCACATGTTTTCACATTCTCACACATAAAAACACACACACACACAATCACACAGAGACACACGGAGAAAGAGAGACAGAGACACACACAGTCACATAGAGAGACACACACACTCTCACACGCACAGAGACACACACTCTCTCTCACACAGAGATACACAGACACACACTCTCTCAAACACAAATACACTCTCTCTCACACACGCAGAGATACACACACACACACAAACAAACACACATACGCTTTCTAACCGACAATAAAACAAACAAGTGCAGCTGATTTACGGCCTGGACTCGCCTTCTCTGTCGCCGGGGCCTCGTTAAGATCCTTCTCAGACTCTTTTTTTAACAACACACAAACAAACGATACAAACAACATCAAACTCATTTGATACATTTCAGATCCACTCACACAGCAGTGACCTCAGACCCAGCTCAGACCCAGCTTAGACCCAGCTGACAGACAGATACATAGGTCGCGACTCGCATTGAGAGGAATGCTTTGTCGGTTCCGTCTCCGGAGCCAAGGATCTGTTATAAACACCACTTTTAATACGACTCAATTTCACTTTTTTACTACAAACCTTGAAAGCGGAAAATAACAAGCAACAGTTAGAACAGACATTTTGAATTATAACTTTATGGGCAAAGGAAGAGGGAGGGAGGGAGGGAGGGAGGGGGAGAAAGACGGAGAGAGGAAGAGGCCAGAGAGAGAGAGAACAGAAAGAGAGAGACCAGAAAGAGAACAGAGAGAGAGAGAAGGATCAGAGAGAGATCAGAGAGAACAGAGGGAGAGAGACCAGAAAGAGGCAGAGAGAGGAATAGAGGCAGAGAGAGGGATAGAGACCAGAGAGAGGGAGAGAGATCAGAGAGAGAGAGATCAGAGAGAGACAGAGAGATCAGAGAGAGCGAGAGAGGGAGAGAAAGAGAGAGAGAGAGAATCTTTAATTGGCCCAAGTTTGGTTATACCTGCACTACACACATCAACATAACATGTGTTTAAAATCTGAACCTAGAATCCTGGGTGTTAAGTCTTTCCAGAAACTCTGGACTGACGTGAGAACGATCTTAGACTTGATACAACACACGTTTTACAGGACGAGAGGAAGCTACAGTCCCAGGACACACCACATCACCTTTAATGACTGACAGACAAGGCCACGATCGCCAAAAGTTTAACACTAAAGAGGAAGAATCAGAGAGAGGCCAGAGAGAGACCAGGGAGAGAGAGAGACCAGAGAAAGAGAGAGAGAGGCAAGAGAGAGAGATTAGAGAAAGAGGCCAGAGAGAGAGAGGCAAGAGAGAGATTAGAGAAAGAAGCCAGAGAGAGAGGCAAGAGAGAGAGGTCATAAAGAGAGATTGGAGAAAGAAGCCAGAGAGAGAGGCAAGGGAGAGAGAGTGAGGCCAGAGAAATTAGAGAAAGAGGCCACAGAGAGAGGCCAGAAAGATAGAGGTAAGAGTGAGTGAGAGAGGCCAGAAAGAGAAAGACCAGAGAGAGGCCAGAGAGAGAGACCAGAGAGAGGCCAGAGAGAGGCCAGAGAGAGACCAGAGAGAGACCAGAGAGAGACCAGAGAGAGACCAGAGAGAGACCAGAGAGAGACCAGAGAGAGACCAGAGAGAGACCAGAGAGACCAGAGAGAGAGACCAGAGAGAGGCCAGAGAGAGACCAGAGAGAGACCAGAGAGAGACCAGAGAGAGACCAGAGACCGACCAGAGAGAGGCCAGAGAGAGGCCAGAGAGAGACACCAGAGAGAGACACCAGAGAGGGACCAGAGAGAGGCCAGAGAGAGGCCAGAGAGAGGCCAGAGAGAGACCAGAGAGAGACCAGAGACCGACCAGAGAGAGACCAGAGAGGGACCAGAGAGAGGCCAGAGAGAGGCCAGAGAGAGACCAGAGAGAGACCAGAGAGAGACCAGAGAGAGACCAGAGAGAGACCAGAGAGAGACCAGAGAGACTTGAGAGGAAGCTTCAGTCCCAGGACACACACATCACCTTGAATGAGTGACAAACTTTTGGCAGGTGAAGATCGTGGCCTTGTTTAACACTAAAGAGGAAGAGTCCGACTCAAACAGACACGGACCAGAGACGCTCGGCCCTCACCTCCGAGCCTCCAGAGCCACTTCCTTCCCCAAAAGTCTGAGTGAGTCCGAGTTTGGGTCAAAGCCGATGAAATCATAAATGTGGAACAATGTGTTGGTTCAGGCGTCCATATGCGGAGCACGCTGCTCTCTTTGATCCAGACTCACTTGGATTTCAGGGGAAAGAACAGAGAAACAGGAAGAGCCTATGGTCCAAAACATGGCCCAAAGCAGTGGGAGCCACACAGGCCCCGGACACACCAACACTCTCTGCTTTAAACTGATTTACTCCCATATGTTTCACACCATTTCATCTTTTATGAGATCACTTTTCTTCTGCATGGATTCAAAGGACGATCACTTTCTTTCTTTGTATGTTCCCTGAAAACGGTTTTGCAAATACGTTCACTGACAAAAGGAGAGCCAGACTTGTTTCTCTTTAAAAAAACATTTGGTCTTTATGGGTTTGTTCAAGAATGTTTTGTGGAAATATTGGATTTAACTGTGTTGGTGCTTGGAGAGAGACTGGGGAGAGAGACCAGAGAGAGAGACAAAGTTGTACCAGAGTGGAATGCCCGGAGGGATGCCTGAGGGCAGGGCCGGGGGATTCCCTGGAGCTGGTGGTGCTGCCCCTGGGGGTGGTTTCTCTGGACCAACCATTGAGGAGGTCGACTAAACATTCAAATGCCACAACCTTGAAGCTGCTAAGAAATATACCCTCTTCAGAGACCTCTTAGAAAGAGAGAGAGAGAGACTATACAGAGAGACACCAGAGAGAGAGAGATTGGAGAGAGACTAAAGAGACTAGAGAGACTAGAGAGAGAGAGAGAGAGAGAGAGAGAGAGACTAGAGAGAGACCAGAGTGAGAGCCCCAGAGAGAGAGAGATTGGGGAAAGAGAGACCAGAGAGAGAGAGAGACTTGAGAGAGAGACCAGAAAGAGGCCAGAGAGGGAGACAAACCAGGGAGAGACAGGAGAGCAAGACTGGAGAGAGACACCAGAGAGAGAGAGACAGACCATAGAGAGAGAAGAGAGAGTGAGAGAGCGACTGGAGCAAGACAGGAGAGCAAGACCAGAGAGAGACCAGAGAGGGGCTTCTGCAACTTGTGCTGTGTCAAAGTGAATCAAGTCACTTTGCTGAATCTCGAGAATCAAAGAGAAAAGATCTCTCTCAGACTAAAGCTCGAAGTAATCAATGAAAAAACGTTGGACTAATATCTCTGTCGTGATGATCCAAAAGAAAAGTCAAAAATCCTAACACGGGACCTTTAAAGACATGTGAAATGTACTAACCACTCGCCAATCGGATCTTAGTCTTTAAAGTATTTAAAGATGAGGGAAGCATGTGGCCTAAAAGCGCTCTTGGCAAAGTAAACAAGACGTTAGTAAAAGTGTGTCTGTGTTCTTTACTTCACACATTGTTTGGAGTCATTCGAGTGAGAACTGGTTTCTCGATCTACATTCCAACTCAGAACAGAGGCTTTCCGACATGTGGGAAAGACATGTCTATAACCGTATCTCTAAAAACACGTACGTTAGACCAGAGTTGCATGTGTGCGTGTATAAGCAGTGGGGTCCTTCCTGCTGCTGTCAGACTGTACAATGAGAACTGCTGAGGCTGTAAATGTCGTTGTCTGCAAATAAGTAAACACTGCAACTTCAGAATGTCCAATGAATGCCACTTTATACTGATTACCCTGTGTTTTTGAGGAAGTGTGTGTGGAGAGGGTAGTCTGGGCATCTCTGCTTAGACTGCTGCCCCCGCGACCCGGCAACGGATGAAGCGGAAGAAAATGGATGGATGGATATGAAGTAGTTATGACGCATTTACAGCTAGCTAAGAAACATTGGAAGACTTATTTTGTGTATTGTGTGTGTGCTCCCTGTCTCTCCTGCTACTGTCCTGTCAGTGCGCTGCAACATTGAAATTTCCCCCTCTTATGTGATCTTACCTGTCCGTCCTGTCCCACATGAACTTGGTGAATCTGTAAATTTCCCTGAAACAAAAACAACAAAAGGAAAGAGTTAGATTTTTGACTTTTCTCTTTCTCTGTGGTTATTTTGTTTCCTTAGTTATGTTTTTCCCTGAGTGGTTTCTCTCTGATCAAAGGACAGTGGTCATCCTGCTCCAGATGGATGCTCTCTCTCTGCTCTATGTGCTCTCTCACCCTTCTCTTCTCTCTCTCCCTCTCTGTGCTCTCACCCTTCTCTTCTCTGCTATGCTCTCTCTCACCCTTCTCTTCTCTGCTCTCTCCCTCTCTGTGCTCTCTCACCCTTCTCTTCTCTGCTATGCTCTCTCTCACCCTTCTCTTCTCTGCTCTCTCCCCTCTATGCCCTCTCTCCCTCTCTGTGCTCTCACCCTTCTCTTCTCTGCTATGCTCTCTCTCACCCTTCTCTTCTCTGCTCTCTCCCTCTCTGTGCTCTCTCACCCTTCTCTTCTCTGCTATGCTCTCTCTCACCCTTCTCTTCTCTGCTCTCTCCCCTCTATGCCCTCTCTCCCTCTCTGTGCTCTCTCACCCTTCTCTTCTCTGCTATGCTCTCTCACCCTTCTCTTCTCTGCTCTCTCCCTCTATGCTCTCTCACCCTTCTCTTCTCTGCTCTCTCCCTCTGTGCTCCCTCTCACCCTTCTCTTCTCCGCTCTCTCTCCCTCTGTGCTCTCTCTCACCCTTCTCCGCTCTCTTCCTATGTGCTCTCTCACCCTTCTCTTCTCTGCACTGCCCCTCTCTGTGCTCACCCTTCTCTTCTCCGCTCTCTCTCCCTCTGTGCGCTCTCTCACCCTTCTCTCTCCCTCTCTGTGCTCTCTCTCTCCCTTCTCTTCTCCGCTCTCTCTCCCTCTGTGCTCTCTCTCACCCTTCTCTGCTCTCTCCCTCTAAGTGCTCTCTTTCACCCTTCTCTTCTCGCCCTCTGCTCTCTCAATTCTCTTCTCTCTGCCTCCTCTCTGTCTCTCTTCCTTCTCTTCTCTTGCTCTTACTCTCTCTGCTCTCACCCTCTTCTCTGCCCTCTCTTTGCTCTGTCTCACACTTCTCTGCTCTCTCCCTTCTCTTCTCACGCTCTCTGCCTCCTCTCTCTGACAAGGGGAACCATCTACTTCAAGTTCATACATACAAACAGTATAAAGAGGACGCAGAAAAGTATTTTGCACAAGGCTAGATGTGGATGTTATTATTTATATCATTTTTTTCTCATGATTTTCTCCTGGTTCTTAATGAAAAGCCCTCATTGCTCTGGAGGATGACGTATGTACATTTGTGTTATTAAAAGTTACTCAGACACTGGACTTCTCTGTCTCTGGATCAGATAAAGAGGCTGTAATTATCACTGAAGTCTGAAATAAGGCCTAGTGTACACTGTGCCTTTGTGAATCTCGGCTGTTTTCCCTCTCTCTCTCTCTCCCTCTGCTCTCCCCCTTCTCCCTTTCCTCTCTCTCTCTGCTCTCTCCTTTCCTACCTCTCGATTTTCTCTCTAATTCTGCCTCCGTTTCCTCCATCTAATTCCTGCCTAACTCTCTGCTCCCTCTCTCTCTACACTCCCTATCTCTGCTTCCTCTCCAAGTCCTGTCTCTCTCTGCTCCCTCCCTATCCTTCTCTTTCTCCGTTCCCACTCTCACCCTCTCTCTCTCTCTGCTCCCACTCACTCCAAGTCCTGTATAACTCTTTCCCTCCCTCTCTCTCTGCTCCCTCCCTCTTTCCCCCACTCTCTCAGTCCTGTATAATTCTCTGCTCACCCTCACCTCCCTCCCTCTCTCCTCTCTCCCACTCTCTCCAATTCCTGTATAACTCTCTGCTCCCTGTCTCTCTCCCTCTCTCTCTCCGCTCCCACTCTCTCCAAGTCCTGTATAACTCTCTGCTCCCTGTCTCTCCCTGTCTCTCCCTCTCTCCTCCTCTCTCTCTCTCTCTCTCTCTCTCTCCGCTCCCACTCTCTCCAAGTCCTGTACAACTCTCTGCTCCCTTTCCCTCCCTTTCCCTCCCTCTCCCTCCCTCCCTCCCTCCCTCCCTCCCTCCCTCCCTCTCTCTCTCTCTCCCTCCCTCTCTCCGCTCCCACTCTCTCCAAGACCTGTATAAGTCGAGAGGCAGAGTGGCCATATGGCTGCGGACCAGAGTAATCTATGCAACAGCTCATTTCCTTCTCGAGCACCAGTGTCTTTGATGAGAGGAGCTTTTGTTAATGAAAACATATTCCGTGAGTGGCAGCCTGGGGAAGAGGGATTTTGTTGCTAAGCTTTGTTCTTTAGAAAACAAACAATATGATGAAATAGAAACGGGGGAGGAAGCAGGAGGGGAGAGTGGGCTGAAATACAGAGTGGTTCAGTGGTCTTCGGTGGACCACGTCACTCTCACTCAGGCCTTCACTTCTTCTCACCAGCGTTTTTACCCCCAAGGAAATGAGAAAAACACATGCACGAGGTGTGGATTACTTTCACCCAAATGTGTAGCTGTCCTGCATGTGTGCGGATCAGACTCGGGGTAATTACAGGAGGATGTGTGTAGATCCACATCCATCACTGCTCAAAAACAGTTAAGGACATTCCTCTGCACCAGACTGAGCAGTTTGGAAGCACGATTCTGGTCTATCTCTCTCTGGTCTCTGGGGTCTCTCCCTCTGGTGTCTCTCCGCTGTTCTCTCTGGTCTCTGGGGTCTCTCTCTCTGGTGTCTCTCTCTCTGTTCTCTCTGGTCTCTGTGGTCTCTCTCCCTCCAATGTCTCTCTGCTCTCTCCTTCTGGTGTCTCTCTCCCCCGTTCTCTCTCACTCTCACCCCTGCTCTGTCCATCTCCTCTCTCCCTCCTGCACTCTCTATCTCCCGCTTTCTCCCTCTCCCCCCCCCCTCTCTCCTCCCTCCCCCCTGCTCCCTCTCTCTCCCCCCCTAATCTCCTCCCTCCCCCCCCTGCTCCTCTCTCTCTCTCTCCTCCCTGCTCCCTCTCTCTCCTCTCTCTCTCTCTCCTCCGTGCTCCCTCTCTCTCTCTCCCTGTGTTGCATGTGCAGATACAGTTCTCTCACCTCACTGTCTTGTGTGATCTGCACCTCTTCTCCTTGAGGCACTTGGGCGATGTGCAGCTGTCCTTGAGGAATCTGAAATGAGATAGAAATGTCATAATCATTTTAAGACTTATTTTATATTGTTTGAATATTAGTCCAGAGTTTTTAAAAGGTCTGAGCAGCATCAGCAGCAGCAGCAGCAGCAGCAGTAAAAGGGGAAGCCAAGTGGACTGGGTTTTACTTGTTGCTTTAGCAGTGACCATAAAGTTTTGGTTCAAAATTTAATGATGTGCACAAGGCCCAGCAGGAAAATAACAGAAAAAAATACTTTTACCGTTGCTTATGCCCAACTTCCAAAACTACTTTTTTGAGAAAGTTCAAACCCACTGAGTTTATTAGAAGTGAATTACAGCATTATAAATCAAGCTGCCGGTTTTAACGTTCCGAAACAGTCAAAAATAACAGTTTAGATTTTGTAACTGGAGAAATTGTGTAGAGCTTTATGGAGAGAGTATTAATAATTCTGTCTCTCCATCTCCCTCTGCTCTCACTCCCTCTGCTCTCTCCCTCTGCTCTCTCTCCCTCTGCTCTCTCTCCCTCTGCTCTCTCTCCCTCTGCTCTCTCCCCCTCTGCTCCCGCTCTCTTTCTGCTCTCTCCCCCTCCGCGCCCCCTGTGCTCTCTCTCCCACTGCGCTCTCTCCCCCTGCTCCCTCTCTTTGCTCTCTCCCCCTCCCTACGCTCTTTTTCCCTACACTCCCTCTCCCTCTGCTCTCCCCCCCTCTGCTCCCTCTCCCTCTGCTCTCCCCCCCTCTGCTCTCTCTCTCCCTCCGCTCTCACTGTGCTCTCTCCCAGCCTCATCTCAGACTGACTGAAGCTTTGAAACAGTCTAGCTGTGGTGAGGTGTTGGGTGAATGCAGCCTGTGAGTGTCTGTCAGCAGCAGAATCAGACTTACTGATTACTTCCTGTTGTAGAATTGTTTGCAATCTCTCGCCACATATTTGATCGAGAACAAAAGACCAGTAACTTTCATGTTTCTCATCTCTGACTTTAAGAAGTGACTGAGTTCTTCCACAGCAGATTTTTAATCAAAGACATTCCCAAGTATTGGAGTTTCAATAGAAAGGGATATAGAAGAAAGGAACAGAAAGATGCATTTGAGAGAAAGTGAATAACGTTACAACACTCACCACCTGAACCTGTCCGTCCTCACCGATGCGGTGGAACTGCACCTGCTGATTGGCCAGAGTGTAGTGCAGCGTCTGCTGAGTCTCCATCTGCGCAGGTTCAGACTCTGTACAAACAGGACACAGGTCACACATGGTGGCTCTGCAACACCCCGAGACACACTGAGACACACTGAGACACACTGCGACACACTGCGACACACTGCGACACACTGCGACACACTGCGACACACTGCGACACACTGCGACACACTGCGACACACTGCGACACACTGCAACACCCTCCAACACCCTGAGACACCCTGAGACTCTCTCCGACACCCTGAGACATCCTGATACCCTCTCCAACACCTGGAGACACTCTCCAACACACTGACACCCTGAGACCCTCTCCTACACCCTGTGACACACAGTGTCACACAGCGACACTCTCAGACACCCCACAACACCTCGACGATCAAACACCCCTCTCTCTCCCTCTCTCTGGCGTCTCCCTCCCTCTTTGTCTGTCTCCCCTTTTAGTTTAGCCCATTACAAACCAAGGGCCGGACAAAGCCAAGAAACACACTTTATCAAAATGAGAACCACACAGCGACCAGCGAACGCACTCCGGCCTCAATCACAACACACACACACACACATACACACACAAACTAAAGAAACGAACCCCAGATGTTTCAAAACAACGTCCAACACTGTGAAAGGGCTCCAAACATAAACATACAAGACATAAAAGTGAAACACGTCTTAACATAAACACATCCGCTGCTTTGTGCGTTTTATGCTGCAAAACGTAGCTCTGCCTCTCATCCTTCATCACAGCTGTTAAGAGTTCACAAGGACAAGTCTATTCTGTTTCTATGTGTAATATAGAACCACATGTGTCACTGTCTCTTTAGTCCCTGTGTCCCAGAGCCTCTGACGTTTACATACAACTATATACGACTGCACTAGAACATACCTAAAGCTAGAGATTTTATACTAGCTTCTTTATTATGTTAAAGCTAGAGATTTTATACAAGCTTCTATATTATGCTAAAGCTAGAGATTTTATACTAGCTTCTTTATTGTGCTACAATTAAGAGATTTTATTTTATTTCAGTATAGAGTTCATTTATCTTGTGCTGTGTGCTCCTCATCCCTACTGTTCTGTAACTGCTGATGCAACACTGACATTTCCCCTCTGTGGGACGAGTAAAGGATATCTTACTCTTCATCTTAGTTCCGTTTGGGCCGGAGAACAATTAGAAGCTTGTGGCTTTAAGGACCCATCCATCACCACATTACTGTACTCTGTATGAAAGCATAGATTCTACATCGACTCCCCAGTGTTGCGTTGCGATGTGTGGTGTTGTTGTGTGTTGTTGTGTGGCCCGAGCGCGAGCCCACAGGATATTTGTGTTTCCTCCGCAGGCAACCCTTCCCCCGGTCAGAGGTCGGAGGTCGCAGCTCACAGGGACAGCAGGACAGTGAGCTTTGTGCACAGATTACAAACATCTGCAGGAGCCTAAAATAGCTGACACTCCATAGAACAACCTGCGACAACAACTCACACGTTCACACCGCGGCCAGATGTGCTTTTACTAGGGCAAAGGACGGGCTGAGGAGAGCTGAGGCAGGGAGAGAGGGGGGTAATGAGGAGGCATGTGGGGGGTAATGAGGCATGTGGGGGGTAATGAGGAGTCATGTTTGGGGTAATGAAGAGGCATGAGGGGGTAATGAGGAGTCATGTGGAGGGTAAAGAGGAGTCACGTGGGGGGTAATGAGGAGTCATGTTTGGGGTAATGAAGAGGCATGAGGGGGTAATGAGGAGTCATGTGGAGGGTAAAGAGGAGTCACGTGGGGGGTAATGAGGAGTCATGTTTGGGGTGATAAGGAGTGATGAGTGGGGTAATGAGGAGTCACGTGTGGGGTAATGAGGAGTCACGTGTGGGGTAATGAGGAGTCACGTGTGGGGTAATGAGGAGTCACGTGTGGGGTAATGAGGAGTCACGTGGGGGGTAATGAGGAGTCATGTTTGGGGTGATGAGGAGTGATGAGTGGGGTAAAGAGGATTCACGTGTGGGGTAATGAGGAGTCACGTGTGGGGTAATGAGGAGTCACGTGTGGGGTAATGAGGAGTCACGTGTGGGGTAATGAGGAGTCACGTGTGGGGTAATGAGGAGTCACGTGTGGGGTAATGAGGAGTCACGTGTGGGGTAAAGAGGAGTCACGTGTGGGGTAAAGAGGAGTCACGTGTGGGGTAATGAGAGGTCACGTGTGGGGTAATGAGGAGTCACGTGTGGGGTAAAGAGGAGTCACGTGTGGGGTAAAGAGGAGTCACGTGTGGGGTAAAGAGGAGTCACGTGTGGGGTAAAGAGGAGTCACGTGTGGGGTAATGAGGAGTCACGTGTGGGGTAATAGAGGAGTCACGTGTGGGGTAATGAGGAGTCACGTGTGGGGTAATGAGGAGTCACGTGGGGTAATGAGGAGTCACGTGTGGGGTAATGAGAGGTCACGTGTGGGGTAAAGAGGAGTCACGTGTGGGGTAAAGAGGAGTCACGTGTGGGGTAAAGAGGAGTCACGTGTGGGGTAAAGAGGAGTCACGTGTGGGGTAATGAGGAGTCACGTGTGGGGTAATGAGGAGTCACGTGTGGGGTAATGAGGAGTCACGTGTGGGGTAATGAGAGGTCACGTGTGGGGTAAAGAGGAGTCACGTGTGGGGTAATGAGAGGTCACGTGTGGGGTAAAGAGGAGTCACGTGTGGGGTAAAGAGGAGTCATGTGTGGGGTAAAGAGGAGTCACGTGTGGGGTAATGAGAGGTCACGTGTGGGGTAATGAGGAGTCACGTGTGGGGTAATGAGGTCACGTGAGGAAGCTTCTCGCCCTCCGGTCTCTCTCGCCCTCCGGTCTCCCTCGCCCTCTCCAATGTATTAATATATTATACTATTATAATTCTTTTTAAATAGCTCACATTTTGTTCATCAAATGTGAGCTTATACAAACAGTATAAGAGAAAAGGTTGTGAAATGCGGCACCATATTTTTCCATTCAAACTAATAAATCTGAAAAAACATAGCAACAGTATTGCTGTAAATGATGAGTTTGGAGCTGGAGAGATTCCAGTTAAAAACAAGCAGCTCACAACCCAAGCACCACATCAGGACGTCTCTGGCCTCTCTCTGGCCTCTCTCTGGCCTCTCTCTGGCCTCTCTCTGGCCTCTCTCTGGCCTCTCTCTGGCCTCTCTCTGGCCTCTCTCTGGCCTCTCTCTGGCCTCTCTCTCTCTGGCCTCTCTCTCTCTGGCCTCTCTCTCTCTGGCCTCTCTCTCTCTCTGGTCTCTCTCTCTCTCTGGTCTCTCTCTCTCTCTGGTCTCTCTCTCTCTCTGGTCTCTCTCTCTCTTTCTCTGGCCTCTCTCTCTCTCTCTCTTTCTCTGGCCTCTCTCTCTCTCTCTCTCTCTCTTTCTCTGGCCTCTCTCTCTCTCTCTCTCTGGCCTCTCTCTCTCTCTGGCCTTGGCCTCTCTCTCTCTCTGGCCTTGGCCTCTCTCTCTCTCTCTCTGGCCTCTCTCTCTCTCTGGCCTCTCTCTCTCTCTCTGGCCTCTCTCTCTCTCTCTGGCCTCTCTCTCTCTGGCCTCTCTCTCTCTCTCTCTCTCTGGCCTCTCTCTCTCTCTCTCTCTGGCCTCTCTCTCTCTCTGGCCTTGGCCTCTCTCTCTCTCTGGCCTTGGCCTCTCTCTCTCTCTGGCCTTGGCCTCTCTCTCTCTCTCTCTCTCTCTCTCTCTCTGGCCTCTCTCTCTCTCTGGCTTCTCTCTCTCTCTCTGGCCTCTCTCTCTCTCTCTGGCCTCTCTCTCTCTGGCCTCTCTCTCTCTGGCCTCTCTCTCTCTGGCCTCTCTCTCTCTGGCCTCTCTCTCTCTGGCCTCTCTCTCTCTGGCCTCTCTCTCTCTGGCCTCTCTCTCTCTGGCCACTCTCTCTCTGGCCACTCTCTCTCTGGCCACTCTCTCTCTGGCCTCTCTCTCTCTGGCCTCTCTCTCTCTGGCCTCTCTCTCTGTGGCCTCTCTCTGTGGCCTCGCTCTCTGGCCTCTCTGTCTAAAGTGAACATTCAAACCAAGTATTCAAACCTGAGACCGAAGACCGTGTCGTACGTTTGGAGAAGCTCTTCACGGCCAGACTCTGCCCTCTCTGCTTCCGTCTCCAGGCCGTGCGGCACTTCGAGTCAATGCTTTGCTTGATGCGATACCAGTCGGACTCGGAGATCCCAAATTTGTGAAATAAGTGGCCTAGAAGCACAAAGAAAATCATTTAAAGTTGGTCGAGTCTTTTTGGTTTTACCGTCGACTATGGCCTTGTAGAGTTCCTCAAACTTAATAATCATAACTTATAAATATGGCTCGTTATTGAATACTTGGAATCTGAAAATTGAGTGAAAATGAATTGGTAATTCATGAATTCGTCGAACAAATTACTTCTTGAGTGGCATGCTGGGAATCTGAATATTGAGGGAACATTAATTAGGGGGGAGAGAGAGAGAGACCAGAAAGAGAGACCAGAGAGTTAGTACCACAGTCGACAAAAATATGAAATGGAACAAAGAGGCTCCATTGATATTTCAGGCCAGATCTAACTTCAACATGTTTCCTCAATATTCTGTAACAATCCTTATTCATTTGATTTTATGCATAATTAAATCCTTTTTTGTTCAATTTAAGTTTTGCGAGTACAGTTTGGGTCAGAAATTAATGTACTTAAAATCTGCAAAAGATATAGTAACACACATAAGGCACACACTACAATCAAAAGTTGCAACAACACACAAGAATGAGGCCATACACACAGTGAGGATTAGCCACGCCCCCCTTTTTCTTAATTTATCAATAATCAGGAAATAATAATACACAATTTCCAAATTATTAATAATAATGCATTGGTGGTAATAAATCAGTTATACAGCGCTTTTCTGGACACTCAAGACGCTTTACATGTCATTATTCTTTCACTCCGAACACGGTGGTGATAAACTACTGTAGGTTCTGTCAGTGTGCCCTGGGACACACTGACAGAAGCGAGGCAACCAAGTAGCTCACCAAAAGATTTAGAAATGACAGAAAGGAAAGTGAATGTGTAACTCTGGCAAGTCCAAACTAAGGCCCGGGAGCCAATTACGGCCCGCTTCGTCATTTCATGTGGCCCTCCGCCTTGCTAACCCAAAGTACCATTACAGATTCTAAACACAAGTCCACAGTGTCATCCAGCCAGCTTCATCGGCCCCCCACCATCAACCATTCACACACACACCAGACTCACACCAGCCGCCCCAGCGTTCGGACAGGAACCACTACCCAGACCCTGTCCCAAAATTTCCTCAATAGAAAATGTCTCTCCCCAAAACCTCTCTCGCTGTAAACAAATGAATTGTGTCTGAACGTCTCATCTGCAGAGAGCCTGGACTTCAAGGACTGAGCACAAATAAATCTGACACCGTAAATCTTCCTTCGACAGCAGCATTTACAAATCAGTGTTGTTTAGCTTTAGCATAAACACGGGTAAATAATGCTAACCCAGCCTTGGCCTGAAATGTTAAACTAATAGAAAAAGGACAGGGCTCTGCTGCTAACCACATGTCCACGCCCTTTGTCAACACAAGCCAGAATCCTAAAAGCGTAAGAAACCCAGCGAGCTCCTTGACAGCTCATTTCTACATAAATTAAGAATGAAGCCGCAGCCCGAGGCCACAGAATGAGATGGGGGCAGCTGTCGGTGGGGATAATCAGTTGGCAGGTACAGCACCTCGTGGATCTTGTATAGGCAAGCAGACAGGTGCGGAGACGCTTTTTTCTCTCCAAATAGAATGAGTCACTCAAAAGTCAATTTCCAGCTTTAGCAGAGAAGTATTGAAAGCCAAAAGCACATCTAAACAAGATGTACAGACAGCGATTTTAATGGAAACGCATTTTTGTTTGTTTACGTGAGGTATAAGTTGAAGGACGGGTCAAATGCAAAGACTCAGAGGCGTTTTTAAGTCTGTCTGCCGCAGAGTGAGACAGTATTTTATTCAATCTATTTCATTCAATGTTGTATTTTACCTGTATTTAAATGTTAACTTCAGGCCATTCTTTGTGTGTGCAGTCACTTTGCCTCAGGGACTATGGATGAAAATGAACTTGTACGGTCTGAACTATACATTTACTGTGCCATATCCCTGTCAAATAGACAAATAAATAAAATAAATAAATATAGTTTTTTTGTATCGCCCTAAATCCCAGCAGGAGGGAGATGCCAGAAGCTCCCCGCCCCCTTCCAAGTAGCTCACCAAAAAACTGACAAACTGAAAAAATGACAGAAAGGAAAGTGAATGTGTAACTCTGGCATGTCCAAGTTAAGGCCCGGGAGCCAATTACGGCCCGCTGTGTCATTTCATGTGGCCCTCCGCCTTGCTAACCCAAAGTACCATTGCAGATCCTAAAAACAAGTCCACAGTGTCATCCAGCCAGCTTCAGCTCCGACAATAAAGGCATGTAATACCTCAATGTCAAGCTCAGAACCTCTTGAATGCATTTATTTGTATGTACTGTGAGATTTGCAGTTCGAATGTGTCTCAAATTGGCGTCTAAGGCAATGACGGTGAGAAAGTTAAAAATGTGTATCAATATGTTCATGTTATTACACCAGACTGAAAAATTCTAGTGGAAAAAAAGAGACCCGCTAACTAAAAAGTTTGGACACCCCTGGTCTAGCTGTTGCATGTGTAATAACTCATGTGTTGTAGAGGATCGCAGACTCACAGCGAATGCCGTAGATCATGAGAGGGTCCAGCTGCTTCTTGCCGTGCTTTCCTTGCCCCGATAGGTTGGACATGGCCTGGACTTCACGATGGAACAGATAATCGAGAAGCGTCAGCGCCATCTTCTCCGCCGTGCGACAGTTCGTGGAGATGTGGAGCATATCTGCAGGAGACACCGGGCTTCGGACCCGGATCTCAGGGTTGCTCTCATCCCCGAGCCAGGTTCCATTCGGATAATCCTCTAAGAGAGACGGAGTTTGTGGTTAGTCATTGGTAGAAGAGAAGATGGGATGAAGGATTTATCACAAACGGAATCAGTAAATACCCAAAGTTTTACAGAGAAATCTTTAAAACATTAGCATTTACTTCAAAACATTAGCATTTACTATAAAATATTAGGATATAGTTCCAAAAATTAGCATTAGCATAGTAGCTAAACTCATCTTCTTACTTGGACTACAAAGTTTAACCAAAATAGACCCATAATTACTTGGTCAAACAGCAATGAGTATGAATTTCAGATTTTCCATTAATTTCACAGTGTGTGGCCTCAGTTAACCAGAATGTTAATGTTCCTAGAGGTTTAACAACACTGGACAACGTTCTTCAAAACTAAGTATGTCAAATCTAATAGCAATCGCAGCGTTTGCCAGAAATAAATCAAAAATGTGTTGATTTGCCAAAATCCTGCAGACACACCAAGCCAAACTGTGAGAAGAGTGCGGCTGTAAAATACATAAGACATGATACAACAGCGCCTCTGTGTGGTTGTTGTTTAGAATTACAGTAACAGGCAATATTGCTAGTTTCCTTCTGTTTTGTGAATAAAGGATAAATAGTTTTGCAATATTTTGGGAGATCCGTGAAACCCAAAGACATTCATAATTCACAGAGCAGCCAATGGTGACAGTAGTATCTAATTTAATGTCCTTTACACTGCAAAAAGTGATGAAAAATAAGTACAAAATTGCTAAAATTTGGCTAAATGTGTCTTAACATGAGCACATTCTGACTGAGTTAAAACGAGAGTCTCCAATGGGACAAAGAAAAACTATCTTGTTTTAAAATGTCTTCCTTGGAATTAAGAAATAAAGCAACAGTTCTTGATATAAGACTAAATGATTTTGTCCCATTGGACAAATCTTTGAATCTTTGAATCTCTCTCTGGTCCCTCCCTCTCTCTCTCTCTCTCTGGTCCCTCTCTCTCTGGTCCCTCTCTCTCTCTGGTCCCTCTCTCTCTCTGGTCCCTCTCTCTCTCTCTCTGGTCCCTCTCTCGTCTCTGGTCCCTCTCTCGTCTCTCTGGTCCCTCTCTCTCTCTGGTCCCTCTCTCTCTCTGGTCCCTCTCTCTCTCTGGTCCCTCTCTCTCTCTGGTCCCTCTCTCTCTCTGGTCCCTCTCTCTCTCTGGTCCCTCTTTCTTGTCTCTCTGGTCATTTACTACCTCATATTTCATCTTTTTTTGCAGTGCATTTAACCAAAAATCATACAGTAAACAATGTGTAGTTGACTAGTATAAAACTATAAATTCCTCTTCTCTGCTGCATGAATCCAAACTGTGCGAGTTCAAACCTTCTGAGTTGAGAGTGATGAGAGTGACATTTTGGCTCCCTTGAACACAGCCGTTAGAAACTGAGTCACTGGCCTCTGATCCACTGTCCTGCTCCTCTTGGCTTTCATCAGGACCTGGTACTTTTACCAGGATTGTATTTTGCCGCTTTTTAGCAACAGTACTAAAACAGGAGAGAAATGACTTAGATTCACATCAGAAACAACACTTATGGCGAGTTAAAGAAGCATATGTAAGATCTTAATGTCAAGTCATCATTAAAGGGCCCTAATCGGTCATCATTAAAGGGCCCTAATCCGTCATCATTAACTCATTCACCGCCATTGACGTCTATAGACGTCAATCTAAATCCGAACGTTCACTGCCATTGAGACGTCAATGGCAGTGAACGTTCGGATTTTTTCTTTCTATGGCTCGTTAAGGCTCTTGTGCATCCTGTGTCAACATTTCAGACCTGTTAACACTTTGGAACCGATCCTGTAGGGGGCAGAGGTGACACTGTGGCCATAACCAGGGAGGGAGAAGGGGGCATGTGGTGCTGTGAGCAGCAAACAGCCAGAGGAGCAGCCATGCTTACACAAAGGACCGCGGACCTGAGAAGCTCACGCAGCTAACGCTTTTTGAGAGCCTGTTCAGTCATCAAACGGATAAATAAGAAGCAGCTAGATGCCACGATGCTAGTTCTTCAGGTTTAGTTAACATGAGGCTCCAGGATCCTCGGAGGCTTCTCCCTCCCTCCTTGTCCAGCAGCAGCAGCAGCAGCGGCTCCTCCCTCCGTCGTCATGTGGTAAGTTGCTTTTCACTTCAACATGTTGCATTTACGAGTTTATTTCTCCCCTTTGTCTAATGTACTATCAGCCCCTCCAGGATTTTGCGCGCAATTGTTGATTGATGAATGATTATTGCGGGGTAAAATGCTTGATTACGCGGGACATTTTTCTAAAAGTTTCCCTGTTGAGTTTGGAGGCGTGTGAGTCTGGCATGCAGCATTAGCTGCCAGGGAGCTATGGATGATGTTACCGTGTGGTTTATAGAAGGGAAAGGGGAAGGTGATCCATGGCAGACCGGTGAGCGGGACCCATGATGAGCAACAAGTGTTAGATTTACCGCACCATGTGCATTCTGCTGTGGTGTGTCTCACTGTGGAGGGTGCGTCAGGAGCGCGTCCACTGCTGCTTTGGAACAGGGGGAGAGAGACTCTCCCTGTTGCTCTGATCCCAGAGTCTGCGTGATTTTGCGTTCAAACAGAGAGATTCTGGAGGGAGTGACTATAGCAATCACTGGCTTATACTATAGTAAAAATAAACATAAAGTAACGTTTTTAGCAAGTATTGAAGAGGTTTTTTTTTTATCTCAATGTCATAGCTGCTGAAGCCAAAACACTTAATAATGTGAAAATGTATGGTGATTTTATATTTTCCTTTGTGTTGTAGATTGTTGACCCCAGGACCCCCCCCCCAGCTTGATTTGGATCAGCAGCTGACTTATGCAGCTCTTCATAACTGATGAACTTCTGGATCCTGGATCTTGTTGTCGAACTGACAAAGCTGTATGCAGCACAATATTTCAGTGCACACACACAGCGTCTCCCATTCAGCAGAGAAAATGCATGGAAGCCAGTGACAGTCTGCAGCTAAAAACCTTTTTTGGTTTGACATTTCTCACTGGGTTTGTAAAAAAAAAAACTAATCTGGAAATGTATTGGGAGTGCAGATGAAGTAGATTCCACCCCACACTTCAGCAGAGTGTGGGTTCACCTAATTACTATTCTTTATAAACTAAAGTAAAATTGTTTCACAAAGTGTTCAGAAAGTGTTATTTTTACTGTATATTTGTATACAAAGTGTTTTTATTGTATACGAGTTGAATATTTTATGTGTACATATGACAATCCTTTGAGTGTATTGTGAATACACGTTTAATTTGTTTAAAAATTATACATTAAAAATACAATTCAATGTATTGTTTCTGTTTTGTGTCATAGTAAGAAACTGTCATACATTGTAAAATATCAGTAAAGACAAAAAAAACCACTTTTCTGCTTGAAAATGCGCATTTCACAAAAAGGCTGTTTTCTCCAAATCTTGGTCAGGAAACAGAAACTTACTTTTTTTTAAAAATGAAAGCCAAGGGATAGAGCTTTCATTTGGTATGTTTCATACTTGTGTCAACCAAGGGCTCACATTTCTATGCGGTTCGGAAAAACACTAAAAATGTCCAAAATCTCTGGCAGTATGAGGGATGCTGCTTTTTAAATGGCTGGCAGTGAATGAGTTAAAGGGCCCTAATCTGTTATCATTAAAGGACCCTAATCTGTCATCATTAAAGGGCCCTAATCTGTCATCATAATAAACTGCTCTTTTCCAATACTTCTTTAACTGATAACAGTAGTTCAGAGATATTTGAATTTCTAAATTACTTTTACAGCTCCTAAATCTTTTTCATTTCGATGTCCCGCCCTCCACCATTTCACCAATCAGAAAGTCTGTGATCCGGGCGCCAGAAGTCACCGCATGGAGCTAATCTCACTGGTAAAGTACCATGTGGCGCAGAACAAAAAAAGGTCTCGTTATGATTCTCAAATCAATTACGACAAAACAAGGAATAAAACCAGGATTTCTATCTTTGTGAAAAAGGTGTTGGTTATAGATTTGTTGTTGACAAAACTCTTGTCTATTCAGCTGTTATGGTCCCAGCTGGATTCGTCTGCATATCTGGCAACCTGAGTCAGGGAGAGTGGGAGAGGCTGCAGTACCACTTTTGACCACATTTTTACAAACTGCTCCTTTAATGAAATAAGGACTCACTTGCTCAGTAGATTTTCCAGCGGACTGTCTTCTTGGTTTGAGCTCTTTGTGGGTTCGCTGCTCACTATTACATTAGTTTGAGGAACAACACTAAAAAGGAAAGGAGTTAGAAAGAGGACAGAGCATAGATGACTTTGGCTCCGGCTCAGCTCACCATCTGACTTTGTTCCAGGTCTGAGTGGCCCCTTGAGGTGAGCCTGCGACCATGGGGACTTGGATAGGACTTTTGGAACCCGGCATCACGAAGTCCAGCCTGCGTCCAATAGATTTGCACGTGGCATCCAGCGCGAGCAGCTTGGATTCGATACCCTCCAACCTCTGATTCACCGTTGAGGAGAATGCTATCAAATAGTTCTGGAATAACACACAGACATTTATCAACACGGTTTGGTTTTACCAGAATCTACACAATGCAACACTTCAAACCTTTAGATAACTAATCTCTGACATGTCCTGATTACTATTTTTTTTCTTTTTCCTCTGAGGCCTTTCGTCGTCATCTTCATTTTCCAATAGTTCTGCTGCTATAATAAAAAACACATTAAAACAATACATAAATATACATATACAGATATAGATTCTTTACTGAAAACGCTTGAAACCTAACCATATAATACAACTTACCTGCACGGCCATCGCGGTCAAAGTCCTCCACTGAGATTTGAACTATCTCATCCAACTCTTGCACTGACATCCTTTATGCCTCCCACACTAAAGAGAGAATATAAAAAGGTGTTTAGCCAATCTATAGGAACAACTCAAAATAGAAACATTTCATTTCTGCGTTCTCTGGATTAATTACCTCAAATAATTGTGCTGTAGAGGGCAAACATAAGACGCATGCTCACTCATCTCAGTCTCATGACCTGGTATAGAGTTCTTCAACATACAGTATTCCAGGGTTCAAAGACTCCCCATTAATTAGCATTCATTTAAATCTTTCTCTTTTCTATTAAATAAATGAACCATCTACGGGCATTGCTATATCCTCGTCATTTATAGTAATATAGTAAATGTAGTTGAATCTAGGATTTGGTGATGATCCATGACACTCCACAATCAACATTTATGGACATTGGTCTCTGCTTCTTATGGACCAATGTCTCTGTGTTTATCATTGCATTTCCTGTGTTTGAACTGTTTGATTCTCTGATCTGTGTTGGTGAATCGACATCTTTGTCAAGTCCTCTGAGATAGTAATAGGAGTGAGTTGTAATGATTGAAGACTTATGAGTCGTTTATTCATAATCACAGGTTACAAAGGTAAGTGACTAATAACTGTGTTAGGAGGGAGGAAGGGGAAATAATTCATCCCAATACTTTTTTTTTCAGAAAATGATTTGGATCTTCTGGAGTTTTGTGAACATTTCAGGATACAGTAAGTGGTTCTGCAACTTTGCAAATAATAGTTTGCATTTCTGATGTCCAGGCTTCGTTGGGTGTCAATAAGGGGTACATAACACATCCTTATAAGTATATTATAAGAAAGTACCGAGTTGTTTTAAAAGAACAGACATGCATTTTTGTGTGTGGTGTATGCTAATGCTAGCCTAGGTGCAAGACTTCACCAAAGAGCTGCTAACACAGCGCATAGCATGCTAGTCACATATGTGCTAGTCAGGCTAATGGCCGCCAAAAAGTGAGGCGAAAAAGTAGGCCATGAGCATCGTAGAAATGTAAATAATATTCAGAGATGTTGTGGCGTTCACAGCCGCTGCTGCACCGGAGAGTGGGTTATATTACCCGGAGACTGATATTACCGTGTGAATGATGAATTCTCGTGTTGTTTGAACAAATTCCGATAACGGCGTCGATCCTCGCGAGAGATGAGCACGAGCTGCTGGGCCGCGGTTCTTCTTCTGCTGTGGAGGTGATGCCGACAGCGCTATCTGTTACTGCCCCCTACAGGTCACTCAGAACATTACATCACTGCCTCAGTCTGGACTTGAACCGTGGACGTGAAGCTCGTTACACACGTGTGAAACCCTCCGTGGGGCTCCACTTCAGGCTCGGGGAGAGGAATGCTTTAAATTAATGCTAATCCATGGGGAGTTAAGAAACCCTGGAATACTGTATGTTCATCAAACTGCCTTTGCTGTATTTCAAGTTATTGTATATTCAGCAGTTTCAGCACGTATTTAAAGTGAATACAATTTGTGAAAACATTATGGGGCAATTTATCAGAACTCCATTGGTTTGAATGAGAGCAGTTAAAATAAAAAAAAGACTGTACTGAGATTTTTGTTTTGTTTTTTGTGGGAGTCCATCATATTTTTGTACTCTTTGATCCGACCACTAGTCTGCAGTGTTTTCACGGATCAGCGCGATCCAAGGGAAGCCCCCACACGAAGAAGTGACGCGTCATGAACCCGGAAACGCGCCCATCCACAGATAAACAGGAAATATAATAGTTCTGTTGTAAACACGGATAAAGACTGACTTTGAAGCGTCTGGAAGAATCCCGAGTCGAGATGGAAGGTACGATCTGTGATGTAAACAAACTAATATCTCAAGTCAGACTGAGACCAGGCTGTTTGGGGTTTACTGGGTTTACTGTTGACAGCTAAGAGCAGAGAGCTGGGGTTGTGCTTCTGTCATGAGCGAATGGAAAAGTTATGAAATCATTCCTGTTCGTGTTTGATTTGCGTTTATTTCTATATGACTTTTGCAGCAGTGCCATGGTTTATGTTGGAGTAAGAGTGGACAGGGCTTTTTATATGAAATGTGCATAAGAACAGAGATGTCATCACTGAGATGTAAATGACTCATGCTGAAGATATACAGATAAGTTATATTGTGGTCAGTACGAATGTGTTTAGTTATTCAGATAATAATGTTTAGTAGTAATACAGATATGACAGGAGTCCACAGAATATGGAGGTCAGATTTCACTTAAACATTAGAAATCAGAAGATCCGGAAGTGAGACAGGACCAGAACACATCAGCAACATGTGTGGTTGAAAGACCTGTATTATAGTAACATAATAATGTATTTTTATCATGTCAGTGACGCTAAAACTCCCAGAGCAGTCCATTTGACGGCTGTTAGTTTTGGAAGTGTCATGATTGCTTATGCACATGTTTAGTTTTCTTGTATATTTGTACAGGAAATGATCTTGTATTCTATGGCACTTAAAGCCCCATCTCTCAAGGTCCTGGTTCTGAGCCAAGTCAGTTTGAAAAGCAAATCCGGGTTACCATGGCAACACTCTGTTTAGTGTCAGAAGCAAGCCTTTGAACAAACTGTTTTTACTGTATTCCAAGTTATTAAATCCGACTAAAAAATTGTATCTTACTTACTATCTTACGTACTCTACTTTTAATCAAATTGGTGGAAAACTACATTTTAGAGAATTGAGATTTTTTCTGAATCCTATTGATTTGAATGGGAGCCGTCAGCTGCTCTTGGAGTCCTCGTGTGAACATATGCACCAACTAGTACTGACCAAGATTTTAATGTCAATACCATGTGATTCTCTCCACAGATACGCTGTTCCAGTTAAAGGTTAGCATAATCTCAATCTTCATGAGCTAATTGTGAGTTATGTGTTATTTGTCATTTTTATGATCTTCTCATTGACAGTTTACATCAAAACAACTAGAGCGACTGGCCAAAAAATCAGAGAAAGACTCTGAGAAGGAACAGGCAAAAGTCAAGAAGGTTTGTGCTTAGTTATCCTCTGATCGAACCAAGGCTCTCTCCAGCCGACTGTACCGTGACCAAACTGTGACCTACACAACCTTAACCCTACTGCCCTTCATAAGGTCACAACCAGCCGTGGTTTGTGAATAGACTGATGATGACAATAAAGTGTCTTTCTGTGGGACACTCTCAAAAATCATCTTCTACTCACAGAAAGACAGTTTAAAATACATTTAAATTTAGAGACTTTTCAAGACTGATATTGAAAATCCAATCCAGCCTTTGGTATAGACTGTATACAGATGGACAATGCTAACCCGCTAGCTCAATGAAGTGCTAATGGTGAATTTTTTTTCCATCTCTCTGTTTCCTATTGACTTAGATGTGTGTGTTATTGTGTGTTATTTACTATTGTGCATGTTGTAGGCTCTGCAGCAGAAGAATACACACACACACACACACACACACTCCTCTTGTGTGTTACATAATAGTGTGTATGTTGTAGGCTCTGCAGCAGAAGAATACACACACACACACACACTCCTCTTGTGTGTTACATAATAGTGTGTATGTTGTAGGCTCTGCAGCAGAAGAATACACACACACACACACTCCTCTTGTGTGTTACATAATAGTGTGTATGTTGTAGGCTCTGCAGCAGAAGAATACACACACACACACACTCCTCTTGTGTGTTACATAATAGTGTGTATGTTGTAGGCTCTGCAGCAGAAGAATACACACACACACACACACACACACTCCTCTTGTGTGTTACATAATAGTGTGTATGTTGTAGGCTCTGCAGCAGAAGAATACACACACACACACACACTCCTCTTGTGTGTTACATAATAGTGTGTATGTTGTAGGCTCTGCAGCAGAAGAATACACACACACACACACACTCCTCTTGTGTGTTACATAATAGTGTGTATGTTGTAGGCTCTGCAGCAGAAGAATGTGGAGTGTGCCAGAGTCTACGCAGAGAACGCTATCCGTAAGAAGAACGAGGGCCTGAACTGGCTGCGGATGGCGTCTCGAGTCGACGCCGTGGCTTCCAAAGTCCAGACCGCCGTGACCATGAAGGGGGTCAGAGCTCAGTGTACACACTTCTAAAGACCAAGAGTTTGTAATGTTTTATATCATATGTTGTTGTGTCTCAGGTCACAAAAAGCATGGGCCAAGTGACAAAAGCTCTGGACAAAGCTCTGGGCTCCATGGACCTGCAGAAGGTGTCGGCCGTGATGGACAAGTTTGAATCCCAAGTGCAGTCCCTGGACGTCCACACCTCGGTCAGTCACACGTCTGGGTCAATCTGTGTTTCTGAAATATACAATTGTCTATTTCTGTTTTTGTTTTTTAAAATGTATTCAATTCAACACTGCAAAATTGTTCACCACACGCCACATTGTTCATCACATTTTGCAGTGAATGTATTTTTGTACAGCCCTTGATGACAGCAGTAGTTATCCCGGAGGAGTTAACAAAGTTGTTTATTTGCCAACACAGATCAGAGAATCAAACCGTTCAAACACAGGAAATGCAAAGATCAACACATAGAACCATTGGTCCAAAGGGACAGAGACCTATGTCCATAAATGTAGTAGTGGTGGTGGTAGTCCTTCTCTCTGACTCACATTCAGCCTCGGGCCACGTCAGTGTTTGTAAATCCATTAAATGATTCCTATGTTTATGTTTAGGTCATGGACGACGCCATGAGCTCGGCCACCACCCTGACCACGCCCCAGAACCAGGTGGACGATCTGATCCAGAGAATCGCAGAAGAGGGTGGTCTGGAGGTCATGGACCAGCTGGAGCAGCTGCCTGCAGGCACCTCCTCTCTGGGGGCAGAGAGTGCACGCCACCAGGAGAAGGAGGACAACCTCTCCCGACGGTAGGACACCAGTTTACCATAACAACTGTTATTTATGGAACATATAAAAGTCTATAGGTATATAGAGATTTTATACTAGCTTCTTTATTATGCTAAAGCGATTATTGTTCATTTCTCTTGTGTGCTCCTTGTTCTACTGTTCTGTAACTGCTGATGCAACACTGACATTTCCCCACAATGAGACCAATAAAAGATCTCTTCATCTTTATCTTAATCTTTAATGTTAGAAAACCTACACAGACAAAACATGCAGAACAAACTACTCCTGTAGAGTTCTCTCTGTAATGGGAAAAACAACACACGATCAAACTTAAAAACTATGAAAATATATATTTACTGTATTAAATCAGTAACAAGGAAAGGAATGGTTAAACTTGTATTGTCTTTCTATAGAAGGACAAACCTCTCTGCTCTTTAACAACATGTGTTTTTCCTCCATCTGTTAATGTCCAGAGCAGAGAGATACATCTGTTGAATTATTAATCATATGTCTGTTGTGAGTGCAGACTGGCGGCTCTGAGGAACTGATGCTGGAGACCGGATGGAGACCGTGAGGAAGTGGATCCATTAAACTCTCCGACCCTACACTCTCTGGAGTCCTGTTTGTACACGGCTCAAACGGATCTCACTCAATTTGTGTGTATTATATCATTGAATATTTCTCTTTTTCTTTCCCGCTTCATAGTCGTCAGAGATCAGTGAAGCAGCGGGAAGCAATGGAACCCTGAGTCAAGGGCTATAAATAATATAACACTGTATTTAAATATATAAATCTCTCTGAACGGTTTGAGTGGAGAGCATTCAGAATCACAGAATATTGTTATAGTTTTACTGCAACGACCTCTGGATCTTTGAAGTTGAAATATCACATCAAAGGTGAATCATACTGACAATTATTATTATTCTTTGCCAAATTCAGGACATCATTTCATTTGTCAATTACTAAAACAAACAGACAATCTGCTAAAAGGCGTGCTAACCATGCTAACATTAGCGCCACTGTCAGAGATGGGTCTTTCTTCCTTATTTGTCCTTATTTATCGTCTGTTGTGGTTTACTTTGTTGATGCCTTCTTGTTTCTTTGGGGCCTTATTTAATTCAATGGGACTGAAAACTAAACTCTTCCACACAGCTCTCGATTTCTACGTCTGTTTTTTCACCTGTTTTTCCATCACATTAAAGCTGGAAGTCATTAGAAAAGACTCCGGAAGTTTTCGATTCTCCTCCTTTTGCTTTGATCTACGTGTAAAACTTTATACATAACAAAGTGTGTGACGGAGACAGACACAGAGACACAGCCTCTGTCGTGTCTCGCTCTCGATTGTACGTTTAAGAATGCGCTATATTAAAGATTTTTTGCTTTTCAAATTATACCTTGTTTGTTTTGTTCTTTAAAAGTGCAATTTTAGACACACTGTCGCAACACACGTTAGAAAAACAGTAGAGCTGATCCATTGTCGGTGCTGAGGGAGGTGTTTTATTATGTTGTTTTTGTATGTAACATTGTTTACAGTAAATAAAACTAACACACTTCACTCTGTTGTCGTGTAAATGTGTGTCTTTGTTGCTGTTGTCAACACGTGTTCACTGAGCACTTTAAATTCAGATGGTTTCCCTTCCACCATCACATCATTTCTTCCATTTTCTCTTTCTTATATGCACTTTTGATGCCCTTATCATTCATATCATATTGTTAATAGTAATGCAGCAGTTTTGTGTAGCATCTTTTGGACATTCAAAGATGCTTCACGTGTCATGATCCAGTCCCCCTGTACACACAGCTGCCCTGAGGCACACTGACAGGAGCGAGGCAACCAGTCTGTGCCATCGGCCTCTCCCACCACCACCAACCATTCACACACACACCAGACTCATTCTAATTTTGGGGGAAGTGTCTAAGGACACAACTGCAGTTTGGCACTTTACAGCCGCCCCACTGTGGCACCTGCTGGTCCCAGAGGTCTCCCATCACAGGACTAACCAAGCCCTGTCCTGCTTAGCTTAGGAGGTCTGATTGGATCTGGCTCTACATCTGGCTACATGTAGTTCCAGAGCGTATATTCTGTGGTTTCAAAGTCAGGTCCAGCTGTTTAAACTTCATGGTTCCATACTCTCCATTTTAAAGGTCTATTGTACATGTTGCTGGTTGAATGTAGGCCTACAGTTACATAAAAGCTCAGAGGGGCAATGCCATCATCAAAGAGATTAGAGATTATGACACTGCATTTGCTAAAAATAGTAAAACAACTCAAAATGTGGTATTTTTTTCCAGTGTTTATCGTTTGATGGAGATTACGGAGACCACCTGCTCATAATCTGTCTGTCCCACTTTCTCAGTCACAGAATCTAACATTTACGATTCTACAAAAAAACCTTTGTGTAGTTTATTACTAGTTTTCAGTTGTGGAAATGATGCCAGTGTTTAAAGACCAGGGCTAGGATTGTTAACTGACTCTGAGCAGTCATTTTGACAGTTCCCATTCAAATCAATGAGTTTATTTTTTACCAGTTTTATTAAAAGCGAGACATTCATAAAGTTCTTTTACTTTTACTCACTTTTAACTTGAAATACAGTAAAAGCAGTTTGTTGAAAGAATAACGGCTAACGACAAGTAAACAGTGTGTTGCTATGGTAACTAGCACCGGCTCTTCTCTGGTTTCGAAAAGCCGAACCAGGACCAGTCCAGGACCAGTCCAGGACCATTCCAGGACCAGTCCATAATCCCATAGAAATAAAATACATAAAGAGACAGAAAAAGACACAAGTTCGTAAAAACAAAATTAAACATGAGCTCAGTAAATATACTTAATAATAATAATTCATTTAATTTCATAGCGCCTTTCAAGACACCCAAGGACGCCTTACAATATATTTAAAAACAATTACACACATTATTATTAAAAGTACAGAATATAAAACATTTCAAAACTAAAATCCGTCAACGTGACCACTCCGCAGTAGTTTGTGCATGGATCTATTTTAATAACGAGTCTGTGGTCAATAATGGAGACGATTTATTCTGACATTTCCAAACCGGAAGTGGCTCAGATGTATGTTGTGAAGGCTTCAGTACAAAGGGGCCACGCACAATAGAAGCCCGCTGTGGACCAGGACCATTTGTCTCCCAGGACGCGTCTGTGTGGACCTTTACACCGTGGACCTGTATATAAGCCGCAGATGAGCCACGCGTGAGTGAGTGGGCTTCCGTGACAGGACAGACCCAGGGAGGGGGCTGTGTGCTGGGATGACAGCCGTACGGGGCGGGCTCAGGCGGGGGTTCCGGGTATAAAGACTCTCGGCCACAAAATGAGATCGGAAGGAGCGCTGGAGCCGGGTTCAGACGGGAACAGACGCCGCGCAGATGTCTCGTTCTCCCACAACATGAGTGGATCCGTCCGGGTGGAGGTGTAGCGGTCTGTGCTCAGGATGAGGAGGCTCTTTCCTCTGCTGTGCCTCCTGCTGCTCTCTCACGGAGCGAGGCGGGCGTGGGCCACTCACATCTGGACCATAGGCAACCAGCAGGACGCAGACAACAGCAGCAGCAGCAGCAGCCGGTGGGCCTGGTTTACTGCTTTAATACTACACGCATACATCTATACAGCTATACATATATACATCTATACAGCTATACATATACATGTATACATGTGAGGTGTGGGCCTATGGCTGCGACCAGCTCAGTGCAGCTGCTCCAAGTATCAGCTCAAGGAAAACACGGATTTGTTGCGTGTCTGGTTTAATCTAGGGCAGCTCCAATGCCCTGTTATGTATTCCGTTATGTGCTGTGTTCTGTTGTGTGCTATGTGTTCTGTGTTCTGTTAAGTGTTCTCTTATGTGTTGTGTGTTCTGTTATGTGTTCTGTAATGTTTTGTTTTGTGTGTTATGTTGTGTACTTACTTGTGCAGTTCAATTAAGCTGCTTCAATGTTGAGTCATGTGTTTACTGTTGTGTTGTGGCCTGTTTGAGTGTGTCCTGCTGGCTGCTGAAGAAGTGGACTCCCTTTAAGTTTAAATGTTAATATTGATTTAAAATGTCTTCATGTTTTCTTAGCCCGTGGTTATTATATATCCTGTTGTGGTCCTGGTTTTGCAGGTTAAACCAGAATAGACACTTGCAAAGACTCAGTTCGTCGGTATTATGTTACCCTGTAATAACCCTATTATCTGAGATGTTTTTACTAATCTGTGTTTCTGCTCTAGGCCCCGGAGCCACAGCGACCTGAATGTGGACAGAAACCTAAAGACTGACGTGGCCGTCATCACGATCGGAGATGGCTCCTCGCTGGAGTTTGATTTCCCTGAAAACTCCAAAGGTGTCATCGTGGTCTCCACCTGGTTCTCCAACAGCAGCGTGCTGAGCCAGGACGGCTGGAGGCAGACTCTAAGAGTGCAGTCCTTGGACCCAGAGATGTTGTCCATCCTGAATGTGTCTCGCAGCAGAGAGACGTTGGGAGCTCAGAGCTACATCATCAGGATCCGCTCGGGCTTCCCGGGCCGCGTCCAGCTGCACATCCAGCTGCTGCGGCAGGAGCGGGACTCTGTACCTGTGCTCCTCGCCGAGAGGACTGACTACTTTATCACTGTGGTGCCGTGGAGCGACGACCCCGCCTCTCGCCTCATCCGCTCCGGGGGTCTGTCTCACTTCTCCGAGCACCCTGTCCTGTTCGCCTTGCTGCCTGTCATCTTTGTAAACAAGTGTGCCTTTGGCTGCAAGGTGGAGGGGGAGGTGCTGCGGAGGCTGCTGCGGCGCCCGGTGCCGTTGCTGCTGGGCGCCGTGGGACAGTTTGTGGTGATGCCGCTGTACGGTTACTGCGTGTCACAGCTCGCTCGCCTCCCGAAGGCACTGGCCCTGGGGCTGGTCATCACCTGCTCAGCTCCTGGGGGGGGAGGAGGGTACCTGTACAGCCTTCTGCTGGGAGGAGACGTGACCCTGGCCATCTCCATGACTCTGGTGTCCACTGTGGTGGCGGTGGGTGCCATGCCCCTGTCCTCGGCCGTGTACGGGCGGCTGCTGGGTGTGCACGCCGCTCTCCACGTGCCCTTCATTAAGATCCTGGGCACGTTGTTGTTCATCGCCATCCCCATCTCGCTGGGCGTCCTGATCAAGCTGCGTCTGCCGGCGCTGACCCGCCTCCTGCTGATGCTCATCCGGCCCCTGAGTGTGTTGCTCATGGTCGGAGGCATCTTCATGGCGTACCAGATGGGAGCCTCTATCTTGGCCAACGTGTGGCCCCACATAGTGCTAGTGGGGGTCACTGTGCCGGTGCTGGGGCTGGCAGTGGGGGCCCTCCTGGCCCGAGTGGCCGGCCTGGACCCCCCCCAGCGGAAGACTGTGAGCATCGAGGTGGGGGTGCAGAACAGTCTGCTGGCTCTGGCCGTGATGCAGCTGTCGTTCCGCCGCACGGAGGCCGACTTCGCGTCTCAGGCTCCGTTCATTGTGGCGCTGAGCAGCACCTCTGAGATGCTGCTGCTGGTCCTGGTGCATTTGGCCCGGAACCGGCTGTGTCCGCCGGCCAATCAGTGCGACGCCTGAGCTGTGCTCTGTCCTCAGACGCCGTCTTTACTGTTGAATGCGGAGCGTTTCCTTTGCTCCTGTTGTTGTTTGTCAATTTTCATGAAACCAAAGGCCTTTAAATTTCCAAGACCTTTTCTGATGGTTTTACATGTGATTTTAAAAGGATTCTTTCGGACTTTGAGTAAACGTTCAGCTACTTATGATAAATATTTTTCTACCAAATTACTTTTGTACCAGTGTTTTGTACCATGTTTACGGCAATCAATGTGTCTTATACTGGGCGGATTGTAAGTGGACAGTTGTGTAATTACTGTGTTGTGCATCCTTGTACTTGAACATGACTTTGGAGGATTACATGAATCATAAAAGCTTGTGACATCACACTGACTCAGTATCTTCATATTGGTCTTTAACCTGAATCTTTCACTGATCTACAGCCGTTCTCTTCACTCTCTCTTTCACAAAGGTGCACTTTGTCATAATTATGTGTCAAATAAACATTTGGACACACCCAGTAGCTAGAAACCTGTCCCAGTTTTACAAAGATAGAACTGTTTCGCAGATCGTTTTACCTTTTCAGTCCCAGATCATGTGACGACTCATTCTTCTCACTCGCTGGTATGAAAACTGGTTGCACAAGCGAGTCTTTCCAGGTTGTTTCTTGTTGTATTCATATTTGGTTATACACGCTTATCTTTCAGCGGGTTCTCTCAGAAAGCCCGACTTCTTGACCAGTTCCCTGCTTTGAATCTGAATACAGACTCTGAATACCAGACACAGACTGCTGCATGTACATAGTTCCACTTCTTTAACATTTAGTTTCACTACATGAATTATTAATGATTTTATTAAAGCTTTAAAAAGGCAGATTCAGACATTTCTAGATTCTAAATTCTAACAATATCCCCAACGCATTTAGCTTAAGTTTTTAATCATTTCAATACGATAATAACTTTTTACATATTGTTTTATATGAAGAAACCTCTGTTTTAATGTGAAAATAAGAAGTAATGCTAAAAATGTTCACATTAACTCTTTAGAAATGTGATGTGAAACAAACAAAAGGAGCGCTGAAACTATATAAAAGAGACAGGACTACTAATGGAAAAAGCCAGGT